CCAGAAGCACTATAAACCCCTTATATATATATTAAAACTTACATAAATCCTAAAGTAAAGCCCAGAACAAATCACACTTCATGCACCCCCAAGTCATAGCAACTTCCTCTCAACTGCCTTAACCTCTAGCCCGTCGCCTTCGCCACAACCACCACCATCATAACCGCCATCAAGGATCACTTGAAAGCAGCACACCACCACCACCTCTAAAATTTTTTTAGTATTAATCTCATCTTTATTTTGATGAAAAATATTTATAAAAGAGGAAGTCTGAAATAATTGAAGAAGAACCATATTGAGAGGCATTGGTGATGTATAAGTGTATAACTAAATGCAATGTCAAAATTATATGTCTTTTAAATTAGAGCAAGAATAATTACGTTGGCTTCTAGTGATTTAAACAAGTATTAAATTAATAGAGAAATGATTAAAGCTTAGGCCAAACTATATGTAAGCGTTAGAATCATGAATAATCAATTACAATCAAGATTAGCATAGCATGGATGATTTTCAACAGAAATTCCTAAATTAATAATAAGAGTAGTCACTAATCGGATCCACTCACTCACACTCTTGATGTAGGCTATGCGGAGATAACTTGCACGACTTTAGTGATGCCACAATTGAGAGAAAACTTCAAAAGGAATACTTGGAACTTCGGGACAGCAAGCAACAACCGTGGGACAGCAAAACGTCCAAGAGGATGTTGCTGAAATTTCAGGACAGCAAGAGGCCTCGTGTTGGAAGCTCTGGACAGCTGCTAAGTGGTCTTGGACAGCAAAGAAACACACTAACACGTGCAGGAAAATCTGGACAGCAACTTAAACATGTTCTGGAACTTCAGGACAGCGAACGGGGACCTTCCGGATGGCAGGAAAGCAAAGGGGACCTTGCTGAAATCTCTGGACAGTAGCTTGGTCTTCTTTGGACAGCATTTTCGAAGGTTAGAGAGGTGGGATAGCAGGGTGCGGTTGCTGGAATTTCTGGAAAACGAACTTAGGTGGAGGGATCTCACTTTGGGAGGGGAAAAGCGTAGAAAAATAAGGGTCCGATTTGGAGGGGATGGAGCAAGGGATTTAATATCAGGCTTTTGAATTTGAATTAGGAGGGAAACAAATTCAAAAATACTGAAATTAATTTAGTCATAGAGGTGCGAGTAATTGGTGGAATTAAAAGCTTAATTATGAGAGCATTAATGGGCCTATTAATTAGGTGAGACAGAGGGAGAGGGGCCGGCCAAAGGAAGGGGGAGAAAGCAAAGGAAAGGTGTCCACATTCATTGAATGTGGATTTGGAATCAAATCCAATTTAATTTAAGATTTGCAATGATTAATGGGTTTTCCTAAAATAATTTAAATCGTTTAGGAAAGAATTTGAATTTGAATTCAAGAACCTCCCAAATTAATAAGAGATATTTTAGGAAAATAGTTGAATTAGGAGGGAAGGGAGTGGTTGATGGCTAGGGTTTGGAGGTGGGGTGGCCGACAGTTAATTGGTGGGCTTAGCCGGTAGTTAGAGAGGAGGGTGGTCGGCGGCTAGAAGGAGAAAGGGTGGATCTCTTGGGGCCGGCGACTATTGGGAGTGGAAGGGGAGGTTGACGGTTGGAGGAGGGAAGATGGGCTCTTGGCCAGCGGCTATGGAGGAGGTTTGGCCGGCGGTCAATGGAGAAGGGGGAGGGAAATTAGAGAAAAGAAAATTAACCACGAGCCTGGACGCTTTTTACGGCTAGTGGGTGATCCGTCACCCTCACCTAAGTTTCTCATAAAAGCTCTCTATCAAAACACCAAAGAGACAATTGCTGAAATCGGGTAGGGCCAAAACCAGGACTACGATCATGGCTGTCTTTAATTTCTCAAAGGTCTAAGTGGCTGCCTCTCCCCACAAGTAGTCTTTCTTGAACTGCTCTGTCAGAGGATAAGCTATGGTATTGTATCCCCTCACGAATCTCCTATAGTACCATAACAATCCTAGAAAGTCCCTTAACTCCCTTAGGTTCCTAGGTAGAGGCCATTTCAATAGTCTCAATCTTGGCCTGATTAACTACTACCCTTTCCTAGGATACCACGTGTCCCAAGTACTTCACAATAGCCTATGCAAAATAACATTTCTTCAAGTTGGCCCTTAGCCAATCCTCCTACAACACTTCTAAGATCACCTTAGATGTTCCAGATGCTCCTCACTGGACATGTTGGACACCAGGATGTCATCAAAGAAGACCACAATGAACTTCCCAAGGTAAGGTCGGAACACCTTATTTATGAGGTTCTGGAAGGTAGCAAGGGTGTTGGTTAGACCAAACGACATCACCAAAAACTCATAGTGTCCCTCGTGTGTCTTGAAAGTTATCTTCGGCGCATCCTCCTCTCTCATTTGGATTTGATGGTACCCGGACTTCAGGTCCACCTTCGCAAATACCACCGCTCCATAAAGCTCATCTAGCAACTCATCTATCACTGAAGTAAGAAACTTGTTTGGCACAGTCTCCTTATTCAAGGCCCGGTAATCCACGCAAAATTTTCAACTTCCATCATTCTCCTTGACTGGTAGAACTAGGTTTAAAAAGAGCTTATGTTTGGCCTAATAATCGCCACCTCCAGCATCTCTCAGATCAGCTTCTGAATTTCATCCTTCTCGATCTGGGGGTAGCAATAAGGCTTGACACTAATCAGTGATACTCCCTCCCCTCAGCGTGATGACGTGCTCATGTCCCCTCCATGGAGGTAACTCCTGAGGTGGTTGAAAAATCTCACTAAACTATTATATCACTGGTTGTACTGAAAGAGGGATATCCCCCCTTCGATCCCCTTTGGTCCCGTCCAAACTCTATAGCTCCACCAGAAATCTTCCTACCACCCACTATGTGGCCCTTGCCATGATTTTTAGTGACACCATGGCTTTTGAGAGCCCTAAATATCCCTTAATCACCATCATTCTCCCCTCCACCATTAATTCTATTGTCAGCGTCCCCCAATTCACCTTGGTATCCCCCCAAGTTCTACAACCATCTTATCCCCAAGTTGACATCAGTGCTCTCTAACTCCAATGGGAGAAATTCTCCCTCATCTGAATCCCTTGTATGATCAGGACCACTCACCCTCTACCTATCTCCATCTTCCTAGTCCCCATCGTTACCCCATAACACTTTATTTCCACCAATTTTATCCCTAATTAGTCAATGACCTAGTTAGAGATGAAATTATGGGTAGCCCCACTGTCTATCAAGATCACTACCTCCTTGTCTGCTATTTCTCCTCTCACCTTCATAGTGTGATTTGCAGTGAATCTCATCACTGAGTTCAAGGAGACCTCAGTCATTTCTAAATGTAACTTTTCCTCCTCCGTAAGTCATACATCCCTCCTCAGTTTCCTCATCATCTAAATGTACTTCTCATCACATCTAAAATATAACCTATTTGCATGTTTATCTAGCACCTTCACTTTTGTGAGTCGCTTGAAGTTAGCCCCCGGGCAAACTCCACTGATCTTCTCCCTATAAACTTCTCTCTATAAGGATATTGCATGGGTTCTCGGTGCTAAAGTTGTAGGGGTGCTCCAATAGGACCCTCCCATGTTGTTATTGGCCTTCTCCCTCTTATATTTTTCCTACCCCCTTAAGTCAGCTCAATCGTTTCCCACAACCACCACAGCCTCAGTACCCTAAGTTCTGCCCTTATGTCCTCCCTAAGCCCCTTCATGAAATTCCCCTCCAATCCTTCTTCAGAGATTCCCCTTAGTGTCCCGACAATAGCTCAAACTTCTCCCGATACTCCATAACTGTCCCCTCTTGAGTTAGGGCATAAAATTGTCGTAGAGGTCTCCTTCCCGAATGACTCAAAACATTCCAACAAGCACTCCTGAAATTCTCCCTATGAGTAGATCAGATACCTAGCTTCCCTCCATTAAAACCAAACTAGGGTTTTCTCTTTCAAACATAAACCCGCACCATGAGTTTATCCCATTCAATTAACCTGTTGTTGGCAACATAACGTTCCACCTGGTACACCCAACCCTGAGATCCTCCCCTTCAAAGACCAGCATCTTTAGTTTCTTTGCTCTTGCATCCATACCCCAATAGTTCCTTCACCCATTGGTTCCTTTGATGTAATGATGTGATTCCCTTCCTTCCTCCCTTGATTGATTTTTCTCACCCAACCATAACATTCTCCATTCCACCTCTCCCCATGCTCGAGTAGTCTCCCGAAGGGCTCGGCTTCCCTCCTTGTTGTCCTACCTTAGGAATATCCCAATATGTCCACCAACATGACCCATGTGACGGTCCTTGATGGAAAACACTCTCCAATTCATCGTCGTCCTCCCGAATCTCCTTTCCTCATGGTTCCACCCTAGGAATCGCCGGTGATGCTTTTGATTGCATCTCAAGCCTCTTTTTTCATCATCTCTTCAAAGTTTCCAAAGCAGTTCTTGATGGCTGAAAGTCTTCCTGGAATCTTTTCCTCTACTCCAGCTTTGAGTTGTTCCATCTCGCCCTTTAATGCCTCCATCTTCTTTGTTGCCATTAATTGGATCTAGGCTCCAATCACAAAAATCAACGAAGATAAAACAAAACTCTTAAACATCAAGGGGAATTTTTATTTAACAATTGAAATTTCATTAGAAACTCCAAAGTTAAGCGTGATTGTATAAGAGAAGCTCTAGGATGGGTGACTTACTATGAAATTATACCAAGAGTAAAAAACCATGAAGTCATTAGGCCAAAGCCAACATACCAATAGTTGATAGTTGAGAGTTTGAGATGTTACACATGAAGCAATAAAAAAGCCTAAAAACCGCAACATCTAATAAAGATTTTCCAAAAAACAACCCATAATGAATCTAGCCAGATTGACCGGCATAGTAACCATCCTCCGCAATGAACTAGAAGCATTAGAACAAAACAAGAACAAAGAAAAATAATCAATTATGGAAAGCAAAATTCAGATAATAAACTTGCAAAAATAAAAATGCAATAACCTATCAAAGGATTTGAGAACGAACAAAACCTTCATGATGCCGACCACGGTGCCTCGACTATCAGGAAAGTTTTCAACAGCAGTAACCACATCAGCAGTATTAAAGAAAGTCTGCGAATGGGCGGCGAGAAACAAGTAGAAGCCCATGAGGCCAGATGGGGGACGAGGTAGCGCGCCAGTCACAGAAAGCCACATCAGGAAGTATCCGGCAAAGCATTGAATGGCGCCAGCAGCGAGAACAACCATTGGGCCTTCTCCACCGACGAAGGAAGAGTAGAAGAGTCCGGAGAGGACGCCAATGTTGGCGCCTATGTCCTTGAAGAAGGCGACCGAGTTGAGGGTGGACTGATCGTAGTTCTGCGAGAATTTCAGGAGAGGAGAATAGATGCCGAAGCAATAGGAGGAGCCGCTCGTGCACTGGATCCACACACTCGCCGCCATCGCCGTCCATTTGCTCCGGCGAAAGTAGGTGCTGATTCCCATGGTCTCCGGTCGCCGCCGCAACAACGGCGATCTTCGGCTAGAATCCGCTCGCCTGTGTTGCGCTGGCTCGCTAAGTCGCCATCTCTATCTGGGAAACTAGCTCCGTGGCTTAGAATCGTTGCTTCCGACGATGGTTGAGTAGAACACTGTGTTCTATAATAAATACTAATAATCTTATTTTCTTTAATATTAGTCTATGTAAAGTATGTAGTGTAGTTGATCTAAGAAGATATGATTGTAAATAATTTTTTGTTGCAAATTTTTTAAGAAAATCTTCTATCGTTTAATTATAAATTAATTTATAGAAACTTTAAAAATATATTTTAAATAATTATAAAATATAATAAATAAGAAAATTAAATTAATTACATAAATAGATGTGTACAAACTTTCATTTTGATTGATTTTATATTCATCTTTTTGGAGAAATTAAAGGTGTTTTAATACATTTTCTCTATATTAGGTGTGTATAATCATTTAGAATTATTTTTCTGATTGTCGCATCTTAGAAAATTCACAATGATAGAAAAAAATAAAGTTTATTGTTTTAATTTTGTATGAAGATCTAGCACAAAATCAGATAAAAGAGAAGAGTGTAGTGTTCATAAGGAACACTGAGTTTTATGGGGAAAAAAATAAAAAATCATGGGGCTTGTCCCAGTTTGAATGAATACACGAGTATTTGCAATCGATTATAAATGAGGCCCTTCTTTGGGGGGAAGGTCTTGGCTTGATGTAGCAAATATACATCATATAGAGTGCATTACATGGTGGGAATTTGAAGAATCAATATTGACATGTTTGTTTGGTTGACATGACTATAGTCAGTGGGCAGCAAAGGTTGGAAAGATCGTAGTCGGGTGATGGTGGTTAGAAGGATCGTAGTCGACGGGCGAAGGAGGTCAAAAAGATCGATGTCAAGAGATGGAGGTCAAAAGGACTATAGTCGATGGGCGACGGAGGTCAAAAGGACTATAGTCTGGTGACAGAGGCAGGAAGGACCGTAATCGATAGGTGACGAAGGTCTGAAGGATTGTTATCTGAAGACGGAGGTCACAAAATCATAGTTAGTAGTGAATGGAGATAAGAAGGACTATTAAATGGCAACGGAGTCTAAAAGGACCGCATTCAGCAGGTGACTATAGTTAAAAGATCATTGTCGGTGATGGAAGACAAGAGGATCGTAGTCGTGGGCGACGGTGGTCAGAAAGATCACAATCAAGCGACAGAGGTATGAAAGATCGTAGTCTGACCGTAGTCAGGTGAAGTTGGTCGGAAGGACTGTAGTTGGCGGGTGACGGAGGTTGTAGTCGATGATAGTGTTCAGAAAGACCATAGTCAGGCAACACCGACAAAAGTCGATGATCAACTATAAATTTGGTGCCAATTGGTGGCCCAGAGTAATTCCGACGATAATTAGTGGTTGGGCAAAAGTCTAGCGACAATCGGTGGCATGGTAGAGGTCAAGGATAAGATTCGTGGCAAGAGAGATAACAGATTATCTTTCTCTCCTCCTTTCTTTTCTTCTCCCTTTCCTCCCCCCTTAATGAAGAATGCGGGTTCTATTTATAATTTTTTAGAAGTGGCATGACAAAAAAAATAAGGAGAAGATCAGGGGCTTATAGGGAGTTTTTTGAATGGATGGTCGATATCGACTCTGTTAATTATATACCGTTTATCAAGTATATGAGTGCCTTAATGAATATGAATTCAACAATCTTGGGCTCGTTAGATTTGTCTCGTTGAGCCGCTTGATTTGACTATAAACATGTCAATTTAGAAATCATTTGGTAATCTATTTTATAGTTTGAACCTTCCAAATGTGCTTCAGGTCTTCGATTTGGACCCATTCAGGCTCGTAATAGATCAAATTTGGTGTGAGATCTCGTTCCCTTACTGTTCCTCTCTGAATTGGATTTTCCTCCCAGGATCGGCCGGGACGATATTGAGATCGTCCAGGCCGATCAGTGCATTGAAAACGACTGATTTCTGGAGTTTTCTAGAATGATTTCTGGACTGGATCGTCCAGGCCGAGTTTGGATCGTCCTGGGACGATCAGTGCTTGGCAAAATCTCGAGAGCAAGGGTTTTTGGCAAATTAATTATCGGCCTGAGGAATCGTCCTGGACGATTGGATTTTGTTCACATCGTCCTGGACGATGTGTCGATCGGCCGGGCCGATCAGGCTTAGGATATAAGCAAATCAGCTCGTTTTGAGGAGAGAGAAAATCATTTTATAAAACGAAAATATCTGAGGAGAGAGAAAGAGAAAGGAAAAGAGAAGAAAGCTTGGATTTCGGAGCCGCGAACGCGCTTTTCGTCCGTCGCCACTGTTTGAAAACTTGAAGATCTCGTGGTAAGGACTCCGAATCCTATTTTATGTTTTCAGAATATAATTATTTATCGGAGTTGTGCACTGTTTTGGTTTTCACTAGTCGAATTTTGGACCCGGTTTTATATTGACACAACTTCACCGCACATACTTTAGATGTTATAGATATGAATATTGTCTACACGAATTGAGTATTTTCTACGATGATTTTACCCGTTCGGAATTGGTTTTACGCGATTTTAATTAAATAGAAAAATATCATGATGTTATTTGATATGGATCGATTAGAACAATAGCCTTATATTGATGTTCGAGGAACGTTCTGTGTGAATTTGGAAAATTAGTGCTCTTTTGCAAGTTTGTTTGTATGTAAATCGATAGACTGCCGTTACTCTGCGAATTTTCGTATAGGATTTCTGATTTTTCTGAGATTGATAGATTGAATAGATAGAATTGTGTGATATTGATATGATTGCTTAATATGACTATTGAATGATAGTTGATTTGATATTGATACTGGAACACAAGTGGAACCTGGTTGAACGTTGGTTGGAGATTGAATTGACCTGTACATGATGGTGGGCCGACGGGCTTTCCTTTAAACCATTGATCATTGATATAACGATTGGGAGTCATAAGGAGTTTATAGAAATGCCGACGGGCGAAAAGAGTGACGACTCTTATTGATAGAACCAATGTATGGATATCTACAACAGCAATATGGATTCTACAACAGCAACATAGCCAGTTGATTGTACTTGTTCAGTATTATTGTATTGAATGCATGTTTACTGTATTGACTTACGGATTTACTGCTTTATGGATTTGATCGGATTTATGAATTTATTGTATCGTACGATTTCATTGATTGATTGCTGAGCATTGATACTACTGAGCATAGATATTGATATTGATGGATATATATATATATATTGTATTGATTCATTGATGCTATGGACATGGATATTATAGATTCATTGATATTATTGCTTATAGACTCATTGATACTATTGCTTCTGCACCATATTAGCCTGCTGCATTTGATTCATTGCTAGTATAGATTGAGCTTTTCTAATCGATTTCATTGACTAGATAATATTGATTTGATCGATTGATTTTCTTCTGTGTACGGATTCTTCTGAGCATTGACGTATTGATTGATTGAGTGTGATTTATCGGTTCTTCTATCGCTGCATCGACTATTGATTTCATCGACTATTGATTTCCGTACTGTATTGACTACTGATTTGATTTCCGCTGCATAGACTCATTGACCATTGATTGTTATGGATTTGATTGACTGACAAGCATATTGATAGCAGTACCGTGCTTTGATTTCAGTTGTAGGCTTTGGTGACCTGCTGGGCTATTTAAGCTCATTATATGTGGCTGACAATTTCAGGTCCGAGCAAGGCAACTGGAATGGAGTTCGATCAGAATGTCAGACGAATCCTTTCACTATGGATGCCTGGGGCGTCACATTTGGTGTCATTGGGTTCGTCTTTTCAAGACTTTAAGTTCAACTATAAAAGCATTTTCTCTTGGTCGGAAGGACTATAGTCGGCAACAATGATGATTAGAGGAATAGTAGTCATCGGACGAAAAAGGTCAAAGAGATCAAAGTCAACAGGTGATGGTAATGTGAGGAATTGCAGTCGACTACCGACAGTGGTCGGAGGAAGGCCTGCCAATGGCTGCTATATGAAGATCCAACAATGATGATAGGGCAAAGGTCAAGCAGTTGTGGCCTACTAGCACGGATTTGTCAGTTGTGGTGCCGGGGTGGAGCTCCAGGATTCTTCAAGCCTCAAAGCTCTTCTCTTCTTTCCCCTCCCCCTTCATGTGAAGAATGGATGTTCATTTATAGATTTTTGGGAATGATTCAGCAAATATGAAAAAGATCTAAGACAATTTTGGAGTGTTCCATCGGATGGTTATTATCAATTCACTCAATCATGGAGTGTTCTTTAAATAATTATACGTCTTATAATGTCAGAAATCAATGATCTTGGGCTCGTTGGATTCAGCTCGTCGAGCCGCTTGGTTAGACTATAAACATGACATATTTAGATATCATTTGGTCATTCAATTAATGCTTCGGTGCTCCCAAGTAGGCTTTGGTTCTTTGAATGAAGCTCATTTGGGCTCATATTTGACTAAATTTGGTGTCATCAGGTTCGTCTCTCTGAGATGTTCAATTTGGCTATAAGTTCACTAAAATCAGAATTTGGCTATAAGTTTGCTAAAATCTAAATTTGAATGGTCATGAATTTAATTTGGACATTTCCAATTTAGTTTTGCATTGAGATTCATGCCCGATCAGGATGCTTTTTTGGTGACATATTAATAATTATACTTATACTTATTATTATTATTATATAAGTATTCAAATATTCATTTGACATCATTGAAGATAAACTATCAAAGGCAAAATGACTCATATCATGAAACATACAAATCATCAAGATGACCTGAAATGAAGTGAGCTAATCCAAGGCATGTTCAAAAGAGAGGTCAAAATTTACTTACAAATATTTTGTACTAATATTTTTTATTTTAATTTTGTGCATAAGTATGTGCAATTTTTAGAATCACACTTTATGTTGTATATAAATATGTATAGCTGTTTTCTTATAAATTAATTTTATTTTAAGTTTGTAACTAGAATTTTTTTCTTTGGTTAATTTCAGAAAGATTTAAGTTTGTACATGGGTCTGCATAACCCTTTAAGATCATTATTTTTCAATTGCAAGAATCCATGACATATACTTTATAACAATTTTCTTATATTTTTTCTATATACATAGATGCACATATCCCTTTAAAATGATTTGTTATATTGTCCACATCTATATATAAATATTTTATATCAATTTTTATCTCTTTTTAATATGTACATATGTATATACAACCTTTTAAGATACTATATTATATTATACACATGTATTCGCATATATTTTAAAATAAAATTTTTAAAATTTTAAATCTCTACACAGGGATTAATTATTATGTGCGGACACCGAACGCCATCCAGAGACCAATCAGAATGTGCCACATCACCCCTGTGCTCGGTAGCGCGACTCATTACTGCTCATTACCACTCGGTTGCACGGCTCGGTATTGCTGATGTGGCGCATTCTAGTTGGTCTTCGGACTGTGTTCTACGTCCGGTCTCCACACAGAATAATTTCTCCTACATATGTGCCTGGGGCACCTATTGATGGTTTATAACATTTTTTTATTTTAGATTTATATATAGGTGTTACAATATTTTATAATTAATTTTAAGATATGCATACTCATATATAAATATTTAAGATCATGTTTAAATGCAATTATTGCGTCTCGAACAAACACCTGTCTTGAAACCAAGAAATATACCACAAGCTAAAGCTCTTTTGGCCCACATCCCTAACACGCCAATATTGTACAAAAAACAAGTTGGATAAAAGGTTAGGCTAAACTTGAATAAGACAAAAGAAACGACATTATATAAGGAATATGCTTATAATGCTGTTGATGATGATAGCGTGTTCGTTTTAAATTTATATTTTATGTTATGGAAAGGATCATGTCATCACAAAGTTAGTAATTTTCCATGCTCAAAATGACAAAAGAATTCTAGAGTGTTCAATTTCAAATGTGAAAGCACTAAATCAACCACTACCTATGGATGAGAAATTATTTTGTGCGGACACATTAGACGTAGAGAACCGTTCGATTTTCTGAGCTGCGCTTTTACTGTAGACAGAGAGAATACCGGGCGGTTCACCCGTCCGGTGTCCACATAAAATAATTTGTCCCTGTGAAGAACAAAATGGTTGATGAAAACCTAGACCGCTTTGTGGCAGCAATATTATTAAGAAATTGTTGAGTCTGCAAATTAGCATAAACATGTTTCATTGAACAAGAAAGAGATCAAACTATACCACATTCATGAGCCCCATCATTGTAACAGGTCTTCTATAAGACATTCAATAATTGAAGTTCTGCTCCAATGGCAGTCTTCTGTTAAGTATTTCGCCTGCATTGTCAGTAATAGCTGAAGTATACTTTCTCGCATGTGTCATTTTGCAGCTTATGAGATCATCACATTCCATTTCAGTAACAATATCAACCCCATATATTGTTTTTTGCAAGATTTTATCCCAGTTTTTCCTCACCTCTTCACCTTTGCTGGACACCTTCCCGATGACATCGCCCAAACCTGTAATCTGTTCAAGAAAAAGTTCCCTCTGCCATGAGAACTTTTCCTTGACCTCATGAAGAGTTATTCTCTTGTTCTCAGCTTCTATTTCCTCCTTTAAATACCTTTGATTGCTACGTAGCCTCTTGAGTTCACTTTCTAAATGAAATTTCTCAGTTGCTAACTGGTCTGACAATTTTTCTTCAGATTCTAATTTAGCAAGCAAAGCAAGAAAACCTTTCTGTAACTCAGAAATCAATAAACTCTTGTAATGCAATTCCTGCTTATCAAGAATTTGAGCTGCTTTTAGCTTATCTAACTCATCAAGCCAGTAATTTGCTGTACCATCATATGATAAAATTCGTTGTTGTATATCAGAAATTACATAGAGCTTTTCTTCTACGAAATCTGCATATGCTGCTCTGAATTTTTCAAGATTGATCAAAATGCCATTATCTCTTGTCCCATGACTCTGCTCCAGCAAATCAATAGCATCTTCGAAGAAAGTTAGCTTCCTACCCACACTTTCAAGTAAAACTAGAAGCTCGTCTATTTTCTTCTTCACAGATTGGGGAAATACCACTTTTGGAACGGCAGAGATGTCCAAGTCTATCTTAGTAATATGTTCTTCCAGTATGACTTTTATTAGTTCAAGCTCAGCTACTCTCCTTTCATTTTCTTCTAACAGTAGAAGAAAGTTTTCTTCTACTTCCTTTAAAACCTTTTTCATTTCCATTTTTTCAAGAATAGCTTCCTCCATGCACCTTTTCCTATCGTGGTTTTCAGCATGGCATCCCTTCAGCTCAGTTACTAAATCACGCTTAACCTTCTTCAACTGACTAACAACAATTTTCTGTTGCTCCAATTCAAATTCAACTTCGTCTAATGCAGCCATCTTTTCAGAAACAGAAGAATTTGCCTTTTCTAAAGCAAACGAAACACTCAGCAATTTATGTTGCAGATCAAGTTCCTTCTGAGCAGCTTGTTCTTTTACACTGTCAATATTCCTTGAAAGTTCTGCAAGCATTCCCTTGGAAGAAGCAAGTTCTTTCTGCATTGATAAATATTCCCCATTAACATGTTCTAATTGCTCAACCTTTGACTGGAGGAAATCCACCTTTTTTCTTTCATCAGAGACCTCTGCTAGGGATTTGGTAAGAGCAATACTCGTATTCTGTAATTGCTTTGTCAGAAAGCCAACCCTTTCCCCAGCTCTTTCATTTGTCTGCTCTACTATACGATCAAAACCTTTGAGATCACGAAAGATTTCCACGAACTTTGATTTCAATATGATATTTATAATAAATATCTCCTCACTCTCTATTCTAGTCTGTATTGCCATGCATTGGCTGCATTCAAGTTCTTCCTTGAGGTCACTGATTTCATGATCTTTGGAGTTCAACTTTAACAAACACTCATCAAGTTCCTCAGTAAGCTTTGTCCCCTGTTGACTCCAATGAACTTCCCTGGCTTTTAGTTTATCTGAGCATTCTTTATGTGCCAACTCAAGTGCTCTAAATTTTAGACGCAAGGATTTTAAAGAAGACGAAGCATCTACGCCATTGATCTGAGCTTCCTGGGCCTCTTTCAAAGATTCAAGCAATTCCTGATTTTCTTGTTTAAGATAGGTGTTCTTAAACTCTAGTTCTTTTAACAGTGTATTTTTAGCAGACATGGAGTTTCTAATTGAAGCTATTTCGTCATCTCTTCTAGTGGTTAGAGTCTCAAATTTTGATTTGACCTCCTCATACTCCAAGGCAATGTTCTCATACATTTCTTTGGATTCATGCATCTGTATCTCAAGCGATCTTCTCCGGCTTTCTTCATGAGCTAATGCTTGGTTGCACATTTGTAACTGAGAACGAAGGTCATTGGTAACTTGAATCTCAAAATCTAAACTTGATTGTAAAGAAGAAATATCATTGAGCAAATTTGATTTCTCTGATTCCCATTCTTTCTTACTTGTCTGGAATTCCTCTTGAATTTTATTAAGCGCTTCTTCAAGGTGCCTAAACTGTTCTATCTTCCATTTAAGTCGAACCTCGATTTCCACTTTCTCCTTCAATAACTCATCTAACATTTCATCTCTTCTTCTTGATTCTTTAGGCGCCTGAGCTCTGAGCTCTGCATCACAATTTTTCTTTTGAGACTCAGACAAAAGTCCCTTCAGAACTTCAATTTCCTTTTTATATCCACATACCATTTTCTCCCTTTCTTCAGCCTTGACATTGGCTTCATCCAGAGCAAAAACAAGCTCCTTGTTGACTTGCTCTAACTCTTTAATCTTGTCCTTAAATCCGGTCCTCATACTCTCATTAGACAAGCTCAGCTGTTTCAAGGCTGATTCCTTCTCCTGAAAACTTGACTGAAGGTCATCATACTTATGTGTTACCATTGAAATCTCCTCTGACTTTGCATCAATCTCTTTTGCTTGCTGCTCAATCTCCACCCTCGCATTCTGCAACTTGACCAGTTGCACTTCAAACGCTCTCCTCAAACTCTCAGAATGTTGATAGTTAGCCTTGTTTTCCGCCTTAAGCATCTCCATTTCACACCTCATCTCCTCCAACTCCTTGCATGCTTCCTCCATTACAAACACCTAGCAATCAAGATCAACCGCAAGTCAAAGACAAGGAAACCTCAGCAGTTTCACAAACACATATACGGTATCATTTAAGAAGATGCAAAATCTCGTCTTTTGAACTTCTGTGAGTTCTTTTACTATCCAGCAAAAGCAAAACAAATTCGATTGCAAGGAGTGATTTAGAACCGTATCATGTCGTTGAAATAGGCTTCATTTTTCGGATGGAGGAACAAAAACAATTTGCGGAAAATGTAGAGAACATGATATCTTGCAATAAAAAAAATCTCCAATTTGAGAGATTACGACAGGAAAGGTTCATGGAAGAGGACAATCGATAGCTGAGATGAAGAAAAAATGAAAGACGAGAAAAGTAAGGAAATTTCCACATCAATAAGCCAAATCTTCATCATGATCCATCGTTGGGTAGTAATTCCGCCATCCTCAATCCATGCCAAGCCAGTTCCATTAAGACTACAAAAAGTAGAAACTCAAATAGAGAGAGAGACAGAGAGACAGAGAGAGAGAGAGAGAGAGAGAGAGAGAGAGAGAGAGAGAGAGACCTGGAAAACGAAAATAGCGACAAAGAGCGACACGGAGACGAGGGACTACGCGAATCAAGCACGATGGGGATAGCGGGAATGACAGAACGGAGAAGATAGAGAAAAAGCAAGGCGGAGCCTGTAGGAAGCAGAATTGTGCCCTAGAAACTGGGCGGGCTCTCTTTGAACTCAAATTTTGAAATTTTCTTTTTAAATAATCATCACCAAAATACAACAATGATAACAACAAATCAACAAGTCTTCATCCCACAAGATTAGGTCATCTACATGAATAATTTTTCTCCATTATTTAAATCTAATAAAAAAAACTTTTAATGCTTATATATCTTTATTTTTTAACATTAATATATATACTCTTCTAATAAGATTATTGAAAGGTCAACTCTTTATATGATCAAATCATCTCTACTTTATTTTGGATAATTTTTTATTGTTTTGCAAATATATTTTTTAGTATAAAAATTTCTTTAAAACGAAGGAAAAAAAACAGTGATCTAAAGCTGTCCCAAACGAAACCTAAGTTGACACTGTAATTTTATTTGTCACTAGAGCTACTCTAACATCTTCACCTATACACTGCTTTCGCATTTTGTCTCTCGATGTGTAAAGCTACTCATCATCTGAGCTTCCAATAAATCTATTTACTTTATGATGCATCAATATATGAAAAAAAAAAAAAACACTCTCTCACCTCTTCTTTGATTATGTGTTCTCCCTTGAAGTTCTTAAAACCTGCATCATCTTTGATGAAATTTGAAGGTTGACTAACTTTTTTGCATTAAGCACCTTTATTTTCATTAATGCTCTTGAGCTGCTATATATCATACAGAGTCACTAATTCATTAATAAATGATATAAGTCAAAGCCATCACCCAATATATAAATATATACATCTTAGATATATTCATATTAAAATATTTTATATGATATGTTAAGAACCACTGGTTTAATTTACATTGCTATCCTATTATTAGCCGACACGTGTACCTATCTTATATGCAGCTCTATAAATACACTTGTATATCTGTAAACAATTCAAGGAAAAATATTAATAAAGTTTTCATTTGTTCTTCTTCTTCCTCTGTACCGTCGGGTTATACGTTTCTACATGGTATCAAGAGGCTCAAGATCTTGAGGACCTTCTCCATGGCGGCTCAGTCCTCCACTTCTTCCTCCACAGGCGTTGCGACGGGAGCAAACTCCTCTACCACTGCTATTTCTCCCTCTCTCAAGTTCGTGATTTCAAATCTCAAACTACTTGTTCCGCACGCTCTTACAGCAGATAACTTTCCTATTTGGAGTACTCAGATTGCCAAATTGTTTCGAGCAAATGGGTTTGCCGAGTTTCTTGATTCAAAACCGGACACCGAAAATCTCGATCCAAATCACGATACGCGTTCTTGGCAGATTACCGATCAAAATCTGGCGACCGCTATGTGTTCTACCATCTCGCCAGCACTACTTCCTTATGTGATTCATCTTGAATCAACTCACACCATCTGGACAACTCTTCATACCAGATTTCAATCCTCCAACCGTTCCAAAGTAATACAGCTTAAAAACGAGCTACACAACGTCTCAATGCAGTCCATGAACATGACTCAGTACCTTACTGAGATCAAGAAAATAGTTGATCAGATTTCCTCCGCCGGCTCTTCGGTTGATCAAGAAGACGTAATACTCTACATACTCAATGGCCTTCCTCTGGAATATCACGCCTTCATGACAACCATCCGCACAATGCAAGGATCTCTGTCGCTGGACAGCCTTTATGCGCTTCTTGCCAGTGAGGAAATTCACCTCAAGAATATTGCACAGAAGTTTCCAAAAATGCCGGATAATCAGTCCGCCCTCTACTCGATGCGTGGTCGCGGCAAACGTGGCCGAGGACGATCCACATCTAGATCGGCGACAGGGCTGAATAGCAACTCACAGTCTGCTATCACCTGTCAAATATGCAAAAAGAGAGGGCACGGTGCGGATGCGTGCTGGCATAGGCTCAACATCATTTACAAGCCAACTCCGGTTGCTGCTAAGAACAATACCGCTCTCACTGCGAATCAAGATACCACATCGAACACCGATTGGTTCATTGACTCTGGTGCCTCATCTCATATGACAAACACCACTGAAAACATGGACTTCTACAACACCTACAACGGTGCTGACACGATAATTCTCGGGGATGGGAGATCCGTCCCTATTGCACATACGGTGTCACGACCCGACCCGAGACGAGACGGATCCCGCCCGTGCTGGATCGCGACGGAGCTGCACTAACCAGGATCTAGCTTTGGAATTTGGTTCGGAACTGAATCTTCCAAATAATTAATTCACACAGACAACAAACACAGAGCTACTATGTATCATCAAACGCAGCGGAACAAAACATCTATCCGATTTCATTTCCTCAAAACAATCATCTACAGAACAGTACATGGCTTTCGACAGAAAGAAAGACAGAACAGAAAAGCCATGACTGTACAAAAATCAAAAGTACAAAAGTACCTATACTGATCACTCTGAACTAATCCTGGACTTCCTTGCCTTTCCCAGAACCTGAAAACCACCAGAAAATAAGGGTGAGCTCAACAGCTCAGTAAAGCAACAAACCTCCAATCAAAATCCTCAGAATCTCAAAACCAACACAGCAGACAAATCCGTACAGAATCGAAACAGATTCAGACAGATATCAAATCAACAAAACTGTACGGAAAAGGAAGTTGTATCAAATCAGAAACATAACAGATCAGACACATCAGATCAACAGAATCAGAATCGTACAGATCATATCGGAACAGAACAAATCATATCAGAATCATATAGCAGATATCAGATATTTAATTAATAGCTAAATTCCCTGACACTGACTGAATCTCATAGGATCCAGGCCACTTATGCCTCCCTTTGTGCTCACGGCACCAAAACAGATCAGATCAGATGTGCTTATAGCACCAGAATACATATATAGTGCATATAGCACCTAAACAGATTGTTTCCTCGGATCCGGAACAGAACAGATATCAGATTTCATATTGAGCTCATTTCAGAATTCCCAGACACTAACTGAATCTCATAGGATCCAGGCCCCTTATAACTCCCTTTATATAGCATATACAGATAGCATATCAATTCAGAAGATTTCCGGACAAAACAGAAATTACTCAAAAATCGGGCAGCACAACGGCAGTATACAGAATTTACACAATTTTCCTGAAAATCAAAATTCACCAAATTCGCACAGAATATAGATATCAACATTTTAGAACATTTATTCTACTGCACAGATAATTTCCAAGTTCACAGAAAAATCCAGTCGACTAAAAACACAGTCGAATCAAAAATACCCGGACAAAAATCTAAAAAAAATAACCAAAATGTGCACACTCGGCACTTCAACAAAATACAGAAAGTTACGCGGTAGAAACTAAACCAGTCGGAAATTACGGACGAAAATCGCGAACAAAACTTAATTCCGGACAGATAATACCGCCAAACTCGACGGTTCTGAAAATTGAGAAAGTCGGATTGTGCCTTACATTGCGTACAGCAATTTCCTCAACAGTCTCTTCGGACGAAAACAGCTCGGCGTCGCCCGAAAATCCACTTTTCCACTTTTTCCTTCGTTTTTCTCTCTCCTCAACTTTTTCTCTCTCTTCAAAATATCTCATTTCTATATATATCCAAACTGATCGTCCTGGACGATCGAGCTTCGTACCGGACGATCCATGAAGAGAATGATTTCGTCCAGACGAAAATTGAACATCGTCCCTGGCGAAGGGTTCACTGACTTATTTTCGTCCAGACGATCCTGATTTCGTCCAGACGAACCATACAGCCAAACATGATTTTCTCTGCACAACCTGTACCGATCGTCCCGGACGATCCGACTTCGTCCGGACGAACCTGGAGCAAAAACTGATATTACAATCTCCCCAACTTAAAAAAAAATGTCGTCCTCGACATTATCCAGTCCAAACTCAGTCAAAACAAGTATGGGTACAACCGTCTCATGTCAGACTCCTTCTCCCAAGTGGCTTCCCGTGCAGTACGGTGCTTCCACTGGACTTTAACCATTGGAATCTGTTTACTTCTTAGCTTTCGTACGTCGTATGCCAAAATCAACTCTGGCTCTTCCTTGTACGTCAGATTCTCCTGAATCTCAACCTCATCAGCAGATACTTTCTTCCCAGAGTCGGATACCCACTTCCTCAGAGTGGATACGTGAAACACATTATGCACATCAGGCATCGAATCAGAAAGCATCAATTTGTAAGCAGCTTTTCCAATCCTTTCCAGGATTTCAAAAGGTCCAACATACCTCGGACTAAGCTTGCTCACCTGACCAAATCTGCTCACACCCTTCATCGGGCTGACTTTGACATACACAAAGTCACCAACCTGAAACTCTACAAATCTGTGCTTCTGATTGTAATACTTCTGCTGTCGATCTTGAGCAGCTTTCAATCTTTCTCTTATCAAATTGATCTTCTGAGCAGTTTCATCAGCAAAAGTGGCTCCCAAAGCCTGCCTATCTCCGACCTCCGTCAGAGTCAAAGGAGTACGGCACTTCCTGCCATACAAAGCTTCGTACGGTGCCATACCGATACTGGACTGAAAACTGTTGTTATAGGCAAACTCAATCAGCGGAATATGATCTTCCCAGCTTCCGCTAAAGTCCAGAACAATCAACAAGAATATGGACTAGACTATCACGAAACTTTCAGCCCGGTCGCAAAACTACCCACTATACGGATTCTACTTACCATCGCCCTGTTTCACCATTGGGAAATACATCAACTGGACGTGGCCAATGCGTTTTTGCACGGCGACATTCAAGAAACAATCTTTATGCGCCAACCTAGAGGATTTGAGGATAACTCGCATCCGCATTATGTCTGTAAGTTACAAAAGGCGATATACGGTCTTCGCCAAGCTCCCAGACAATGGTATACTACTTTCACATCCTATCTTCTTCAAATTGGCTTTTCTCAAAGCCAGGCCGATCCGTCGCTCATGATCCTTCACCAAAACAACGTTCGTCTTTATTTACTCGTCTATGTGGACGACATTCTACTTACCGGAAACAACACCCAAGCTATGAATGACCTGGTCGGTAAACTCAAATCCAAATTCACAATGAAGCATCTCGGTTTGGCACACCAATTTCTGGGCATCAAAATTGATCGATATTCAGATAAGTACTTTCTATCTCAATCTCTATATGCTAAATCTATTCTTCAAATGGCCGAGTTACCTAAATGTAACTCGGTCGCTAATCCTTCAATTACCAAACCCGCAGCTTTGTCTCCTCCACCAACTCCGATCTTCGACGCTGTTTTATACAGAAGATTAATCGGAGCTTTACAATATTTGACACTAACGCGCCCTGATATATCTTACGCTGTCAACGCCCTTTCTCAACACATGCACAGCCCCGAACCGCTTCATACAGTCATGCTAAAGAAACTTCTTCGGTACATACAAGGGACAGTGGATTTTGGACTACCAGTCACACGTTCCAACCTGAATCTAACTACATATTCAGATGCCGATTGGGCATCCGACCCAATCACCCGTCGATCTACTTCAGGCTTCTGCACCTTTCTTGGAGAAACGTTAATCTCTTGGACAGTTAAGAAACAAACTACCGTATCCCGTTCTTCCACAGAATCGGAATACAGAGCGCTTGCATCGGCTACCGCGGACACAATTTGGATCAAGCGACTTCTTGCAGATTTTCAGATTTCACACACTCAGCCAGTCGACGTCTTCTGCGACAACACATCCACGATTGCTCTCGCAAACAATCCTGTCTTTCATGCTCGCACTAAGCACATCGAAATTGATCAAAGGTTTGTGCGGGATAACATTCAAAACAACACAATTCGGCTGCTTCCAATCAATACCGTGGATCAAAAGGCAGACATTCTCACCAAACCATTGAATACTCCACGGTACAAATTACTTCGCAACAAACTGACCATTGGACCCAATACTCAGCTTGCGGGGGCATGTTAAGAACCATTGGTTTAATTTACATTGCTATCCTATTATTAGCCGACACGTGTACCTATCTTATATGCAGCTCTATAAATACACTTGTATATCTGTAAACAAGGAAAGGAAAAATATTAATAAAGTTTTCATTTGTTCTTCTTCTTCCTCTGTACCGTCGGGTTATACGTTTCTACATGATAATCATGATTTTTTAATCACTCCAACAAAAGACACTTGATCCTTCATTTAAAAAAAAATCTAAAAATAATAATTAAAAAAAACCTCTAAAAGCAACTCTTTAGACCAAGGCCATTGATATTTTATCCTTTTCTGAAACATGAAAATATATAAAGTGCGTAGATTGTTCAGTAGATTATATGGAACCTATAATTCTATTCAATACTAAGAAGTAGCATAATATGGATGATATCAATACCAGGATATTCTTGATTTGGGATAGGTACTGCTGCATCGTTAGATTCTTCATTTGAACGTGGTGAAGTTCGTTCTTGAGTTGAATTACTCGAGAACAACTTGAGGGTTGCAGGCGGCGCTCTAGAGTCGTCCAAACTTCGTGGGCAGAGGTGGCAGTGATGACGTACGGTAGGAGCGAATGTGAAATTGTAGAGAATAGAGCTGACAGAAGATTACTGTCAACGAGAGTCCAAGCTGTGTGGGCGAAAGAAGTGGCGTCAGACGGAGATGAAGTGGTCCCGGAGAGATGACCGGCGTAACCATTTGCGGTGAACTGTTGAAGAACCTGGATTCTCCAGATTGCATAGTTTTCGGTGGTGAGGGGGTGAGGGATTAGATTCTTGATATTAGAAATTAGGAACTTGAGGTGTACCTGAATGGAGACCTCAGCGATGGGAGCACCGGCGAGGGAAGATGAGGGAGGGAGGGAAGAAGTCGAATCTTGAACCCCCATTAGAGGCTCTTGATACCATGAAAGAGCAGCTAAAGAAGGCTGAGAGAGAGGAGAACGGAGACAGATAAGAAGAGACGGAAGAAACAGAGAATGATAAAATTCATTAATGAAAGAATGTACAGCTACACTTAAATAGAGGAACATAGGTAAAATAGTAATAATAAAGCTCAGTACAAAGTCGGAAAGAGACAATGTGCTAACACCATGATCATCACAAATCAAAATGAGCATCTCTTAACTACACATGTTGAGTTCTCAATCAACATATCAAGATGAGCTGCATGATAATTTATTTCCCATTGCAAACTTACAGTTAGTTTTAAATCAGAATACTCTAACAAAGAAACGTTCCTACTAAAATCATTCAGGTTCTTCAAAATTTGGAAAAATTTAATATATATATTATTTTGATAGAAAAAAGTATTTAATTGATCCACCAATAAGTGGTTCTCAATTTATTTTCTATAAGTTTCTGTTAAAATTAAAATTTTCTCCAACTTCACAAACGTGGACAAATCTGATGGCACCTCAACTACATACAATCAAATCCAAAGGCCATAAACTACTCCGCATAAGCTTCTTATAATGCAACAGTCGCATATGATTTTCAACCATTCCCACCTGCCACACTCGAAGACCGACTCTCCTCCTTTATATCAATAATTCAACATATCAAGTCATCAACAAGTTCTCCTACCATTGTCACTATGGCGAGCATAAACTCCGGCCATCCATCTCCTCCGCCGCCGGCGATTTCATCGCCATCAAAGACAGCGGAAGTCGACCCATCGCTGGACCTCTTAGGGTTCGAGATCGACGTTGTCTCCGCAGTCGAAGTCACTGGCCGCCTCGTGATTACCGACCGTTGCTGCCAGGTTTTAAAGCACCCTTTCTTCTCCCTATCTCTCTTTGGATCAATTTGCGGCAGATTCTAAGCTGTTTTTTTAATATGTGGAGATGAACTTTAGGGGTTGTTTGGCAACAAATAGGATTTGACTTAATAGGATTTAGTGAATCCTGTAAATCTAGATTTAGTAAATTCTGAAAAACTGTTTGGCGACATAAATCGCTTTGCTCTCCCACTTTCGCGAACGGTGAAATGTTAAATCAGCCAAATTGTAGGATTTAGTAAATTCGGGATTTACTGCAAGAAGGAGCAGACAGCAGATTTATTTCGCCGACGTATATCTTTTTTGGTTGGATTTAGCATAAATTCTGCTCAAATCGTTCATAAATCCCGTTACTAAACAACCCCTTAAAGTTTTTAATTTTTATTGAGATTATATAAAATTCAAAGACATTGAATAAATTGTATATAAAAATATTTAAACACATTTTTTTAAATTTTCATATTAAAAATATGAATAATAAATTTCAAATGACTATTATAGTTAATACATCATTAGTTTTGATCAAGAACGAATTTTTGATGAACTTCTAAATTTGAAGTTTCTAGAATTAAATTTATGATCATGTGAATTCTAATTTCAACAAATGTATAGTCAGGCTGATCGGCTCGACGAGACAAACCAAACGACACCAAAAATAATATGATTCAAGTTCGAATGAGCACATATCAATCACTTGAGGCGTGATTGAAAATTTTAGAATATTAATTGTATGATCAAAATGCCTTTGAATTTTCCATACTTATAATCGAATCGAGCAGCTTAATGGGATGAATATAAGGGTCCATGATCACTCAATTCCAACAACATGAAGATGCTTGAATATTGAAAGAACGATTTATGCTCAAGAGAATCGATATAGGATGTTTGATGGAGTGTTTCAAATTTTCTCTATAGGCCCCACTCTACATGAAAGGAATCCCCTAGGCTATAAAGATAAGAAAGCTGATCAGAGGCTTGAAGAATCTTGTAGCTTCACCCAAACACCATTTTTATCAAATCTTTCGCTACCCGACTGCTATCATCAGACCTTTTCAACGATTGATCGCCGCCTTTGGACCTTTTGCTTGTTGACTGCAGCCATTTGAGCTTTGTCGGCCTTCCGCTACCATTGGAGTTTTGCTCATCATCACTCGTTGTGATCATCACCATCAAGTGCCAGATAAGGCTCTACTGTTTGTTATATCTCAAATCTCTCTATAAATTCATCTCTCTTTTATCTAAATAATAATATTTTATTTATAATTTTGGGAGAAATATTTTAATAAATTTATCCAAAATCTCAAAATACTCTATAGATAACTCATATTGATTCATTTGATTATAGATTGTTCTTTAAGTATTTTAAGTGCCTTAATTATCTTGGAATTGAATGATCTTAAGTTTGCTGGATTCCTCTGATCAAGAAACTCATTTTAATTATAAGCACATAATATTCAAATATTATTTTTCTATCAGTTAATGTCACAAGATTTTGTACTTCAAGTACTTTAGTTGGACTAATTTGAACTCATATTATAGCACTTTTGCCATCATTAATATTAAGTTCTATATAAATTTACTAGAATCAAAATTCAAATGACCCTTGATTTTATTTTAATTTTTTTTTTAATTCAAATATCACTAGAAATTTCATGTTTAATAAAGTAGATTTTGTAATGGTGTTAAAATATAGTTTAAGGAGATGTTTAGTTTAATGAAAAATGAATGCAGAGTAAAATGAATTTAGTTTAAAATTAAAAAAATATATTGAAAATATTTTTGAGTAATTTAATTGAGTACACTATACAATGGAGGGTTTTATTTTCTTCATATAATTTAATATATAAGAGTGCATTTGAAATAATAATTTATCGAAAGTAATAAGTAGCAAGAACCAAAACCCTACATGGAGTCTTGGTTGGGTACCCATGCTTTACTCAGACGGACTTCGCCCACCAACGCCCACCCATGGTGACTTTCAGGATGACATACTCACATATACCCACCCACTTTCTATGCTTTTTGAATGTAGTCTGCCACGGATTGATAGCCTTGAGGCTTATTTCCCTTTGCTCTTATTACAAACTTTCAAGACGCATATCAGAATTTATCATAGTCGTAGTGTGGTTAAGTGCTGCACACTATGTAGTGAGGATTGAAGTAATATAAGATATAGATGATTAGCAATGTAAATCAATTTATCCCCCGATGTTGAGTACCCACCAATACCCACCCACAAGGCTATGGGCATACCCACACCCACCCAAATCCATTGGGTATGAGTGGGTACATGAGTGGGTGTGATTATGGGTACCTAATGCAAGAATCTGACAAGAACTGTCAGGACAAACAGGGGCGACAACAGATGATAGTGTCAGTGACAAATGGTGATGGCCAACTGACTTTATTTTTTCCCAATTACTATATTAAAAATTAATTAAAAATGAATTTTAAAGATATTAAGAATAAATTAAATAATAAATTTTAAATATACTTCAATTTTTTATTACATTAAAATGCATCCCATCTGAATTTTAAAAAAAAATTTGCATTTACTTCACACGCCAATCGTAGGCAACCAAAAAAGCCCTCAGTGGTAATTAAACAAGGTCGTCTCATTTGTCTATTTTCTCGGTCCCGAGTCCCCCACCTACCTATTCAATCATAGAGGTTCTGAAAAATTCAGAAAAGAAAAAAATATATATATTTTTAAGCAATTTATTATTTTTATAATAATTGATCCATCTCACAGAAGTGGTTTTCAATTAATTTTTTAAATAAATTTATTCCTCACAAAGGCGCACAAATCTTATAGCAACTTTACCACGTAAAACAAAAAAATCCAAAGGCTATGAATTCTCTAAATAGTTTCTTATCACAAAACGTTGCATAGGATTTACACCACTACCACTCGGCCCACTCAACCACCGGCTCTCCTCTACTATCCATAGATCAAATCCTCAGCAAATAGAATCCCCAATCATTTTCCTATGGCGAGCAGAAACCTCGGCAGCCCATCTCCTCCTTCGCCGGTTGTTCCATCGACATCAAAGACAGCGGAACTCGACCTACCGCTCAGCGTCCTCGGGTTTGAGATCGACGTTGTCTCGGCGGTCGAAATCACCGGCCACCTCCGGGTCACCGATCATTGCTGCCAGGTTTCAAAACCCTCTTCTCTCTCTCTCTCTCTCTCTCTCTCTCTCTCTCTTTGGATCCAGTAATTCTAACTTTTTTTATTCATCTGAGATATTTTAAAATCATTGAATTTATACTGAGATTATTATTGTTCTCAATTATTAAAGAGGTTTGCATCAAAATATTCAGATAATTTTTTTTATTATTTTCATCAAAATAATGAGTCATGCTAAATTACTGTCAGCCTAAAAATGAGAAAAAATTATATTCATACGAAAATAAATGACATGAAATGCGAACAACTAAGCTCAGCAGTGCAATCTCAGCTGTTCAGAATGAATTGGACGGCTGAGATGAATTTAGGGTATAATTATCCGGTATAGAACTGTTTTTTTTTTAATATTTATGCTAGTTAAGATAAAATCACTCACATATAACACATGATTCAAACTCGAGATCTTTTAGGTTTCCTTTGGAATAACTTTTTTACTACTTCTTAAAGCAAAATTTTATAGTGCAAAAAATATGCCTTAGGCTTCATTTGGGACGGCTTTTTTATTACTTTCTAAAACGGAGTTTTAATAAAAAATAAAAAAATTTGTACTAAAACTCCGTTTTAGAAAGATCAAGGTTAGCTGTCTGTCAAGAAACTATTCTATGCAGATATCAGACAGTCTGGAGACAAATCATAATATATCATATTATTCGATTAATAAATGATGTGGCGCGTTCTGATTCTATTATGCACAAAATAATGTCACCCTATATAGGGCGATCCTCGCTTTCTGTCTTTTCAGCTTACTAGAGATGGTGAGGATTTTAACACGTGGCAATATGACAGCCATTCAAGGTGCTGCACGGTGGAGTTTCGGCGCTGATATCGGAGGGGTTGGCGAGCATCGGAGCCCACGTTGCGTCGGGATTTCGGCGGATCGCCGGCATCCATCTCAGCGTTGATCATCTCCGTAGCGCGGCCGTCGGCGATCTCGTCTTCGCCCGTGCTGCGCCAGTCCACAAAGGAAGGACTATTCAGGTAAATAAGTTGCATATAAGCCATAGAAATTCTGTTTTTGGCTAAAGTTGGATCGGCTATATTATTGCATTAGTCCCGTTAAAAAAAATTATAAATAAATTTAAAAGAATCGCCGGTTTTCAGATTTACATTTAATTTTAATTTGATTTTTTATTTAAAAATATTTTTTTTGGAAATAGTGAGTCTTAAACAACGTTTTGAAAACCGGACCGGACAACGGACCGGAAGAAGGAGAGGTTCATGGTTTGACCGGTTCGACCGGTATTTAAAAATCTATTTTTTGGAAATAGTGAGTGTTAAGGCATGTTTTTTATTTAAAAACAATTTAAAAAATATTTGGCATATAAAATGAAGAAGTCCTTAATAAAGTTTAAGCAAAATGCATATGAAATTTACTGAGATCTCTAAGATTAAATTCTAATAAAACCTTGAGATTTCTCAGATATTTCAGTAAATTTTTTGTTTAAAATTTATGAATTTTGGATGAAAATATTTTAGTTTCTTTCAAATTTTCACTTGAAGAAACATATTAGTCTAAATAACTCATTGAACATCAATTATTAATTAATTAAGTAATTAACTATTATTAATATTTGATTTTATAAGTTATTCTAAGAATTTAATTTTCGTTTTATAATTTAAGCTTACTCAAGTAAAGCAAGTAAAAAAAAAGTTTCTAAAAATTATCAAGCAATTATTTAAATATCTAAGGCTTCATTTGGGATGACTTTCTTATTGCTTCTTAAAACAACTTTTTAACACAAAAATTAAAAATTTTGTACTAAAATACTGCTTTAAAGTCTATGATAAAAGCCAGTCATTTAAGATGAAAAATTGTTTTTCAATATTATTTGTCATAAGAATAATTCAAATTTTCAAATGCTATAAGAAACCTTATTACATATAAATTGTTTTTGCTTAATAATTCATATTTTCAAATGCTATAAGAAACCTTATTACATATAAATTGTTTTTGCTTAATAATGAAAACAGGTATGGGAAGTGCTTATATGGAAAATGAATCAGTCAACTATGGAGAAAGAGGCTTTGATAACTTCATCCAAAGTCACAATTCTATCAAATCTACCGATCCCTCAAAATGCCAAAGACGCTGATGTTGCTCTTAGAAAGTATGCCAAATTATAACTTGATTTTTTTTTGTATATTTTAATGTATTTGTATGTTATTGCTATGATGAGGCTGTCTTATGTAATCTATTTTTATCCAAAGATAATTTGCAACTGAGGTCTTAAGCATATTATTATAATGAGATGATATTTCTTTCAATAATTTGTCTTAGCCCCCTTAGGGTATATTTGAGTCATCTTTCTACCTATTTTGTTTCTTTTTACAATAATCACAATTCTATTTAGCTATTATTTTCTTAATGTGTTCTTATTGTTTTTCGTAAATTTCTGTGATGAAAAGATAATTTTTTTTAATTAAAATAGCTAAGTTATTTCTCTTATTGTATTTTAAATTGTATTAGAATAAGCTATTAATTTATGTAATAGTATTTTATTGTCTTATAAGGCCTTGCAAATTTATCTAGAATTGAAAAAAAAATCCTCAAATAAAATTTTACCTAAATACTTCTAGATTCATTAAGCAAAAAAATATATATTTGTTTAAATTTCATGTGAAAAGTCTTTGTGGTTGATTCTTAGGGCTTTAGGGCTTTGACAAGTAAATGATATTGGATGATATTTAGATTTTATTTGGAACAGCTTTTTTACTGCTTTTTAAAACAGCTCTTTAATTTAAAAGTTTTATAAATTAAAATTATTTGTATTAAAAAACAATTTTAGAGAACATTAAGAAAGATATTCCAAATTATTATGTAACAAACAAGCACGAACAAAACCGCCCCACTAATCAACTTTGTCAAAATTAATTATCTTAATCATGTTTATCATCATAATTAGATATTTTACTAATTAACATTACATAATTTTTTAATATATAAATTTTGATCATTCAGAAAAAAAAAGGAACTAATTGAATCCTTTTCTCATAGTGATCTTAACTGTTGAAGACAAAAAATGGAGAAGCTTAAAAGTTAGCATTTCAAACAAATAGTATAAAATCATAGCACATAAGAACAGTATGATGTTCAACCATTGTGATTAGGATGCAGTAACAGAGACAGCTTCAGCAGGTGGAGAAGGTAATAGCGTGATTTCAACATTGTCATGAACACCCTGAAGCAACAGTTCACCATCGAACTTGACAATCTTTCTCTTCTTAGCTGCTCTTAGGGTTCCAACCAGTGCTTCAAATATATTAGCACAACGGTCATCATTGAAAAGGATGCCGAATTTGACCTACAGATAATATCATATAAAACTTCCAGATTCAGATCATTAATGGATTAAGGTTTTGTTTGAGACGACTTATTGCTTCTTAAAGCAGTTTTCTAATAAAAAAATAAAAACTTTGTATTAAAAAGTTGCTTTAGGAAGCATTTAAAAAACCATCCCAAACGAAGCCTAAATTTGATCTTAAACATTTCCAGCCGACCAACAAAGTCTTAGCCAGTTAAGAGGAAATTTGTCTTTTCTTATAGAAGTTGATTTTATTAGCTACAGTTTCTAGTTATTTGATTTGCAAGGTAACTTTTCACAGTTCCGTTTTGAAGAGTTATGGAGCTACAAAAAGGACTGTAAATGTAGCATTTAGCATTAGAGGATTTTTCACAGGACTATTCTCAGCCATAGAACTACTACGACTTCTGCATACTTTCAATGGACTTAATGTTGGACTAAAAAATCTGGCTAAAGAAAAACTAGTTCGAATGGTTGGTATAATCAAAGGGCATTAGCTCAAATAGTATACTCTGCGATTTCTAAGATTTTATTCTCAGGTTTGAGGGCTTGCGGATGCAACGTGAAAGATTCTTTACATCACAACGTAGATAAGATGAACGCCATATTTGTGAATGTCCTAAAAGATTTCCTAAAAAGTTGTGTTTATCTATCATATAATCAAACAACTTGGAGTAAAGTTACTGTTATTTTTAAAAAGTTCAAATCATAGCCCCCAATAAGGCCAGGGAGCACGAAATCAAAGGTAAATATCAACCACGCTATTTCAAAATATAAAATTGTGCAACCGGGTATTTATGCGTTTTTCATTCGTGAGGTGAGGTGTAAACCTAAAGTCGTTTTGAGGAGCAAATCTTAGAACTAAAAAAATGCGTAAAATAAATTCAAATAAATGCTGAAAGTGACTTTTTATATAATACCCAAATAATATATTAAAGGAAAACGTATTAACTTTCTATTAAACTATGAAGAAACAAATTAACAGATATATCAAACAAAAAATTGTACAAGATGTAAAGTGATAAGTAATAAATTACGTGAAATAAAATTGAAATCTATATATTACAAAAACAAAATAACATAAAATATAAGAATTGCATAAAAGTATTATATGACATCAAGCTCAACCCCAAGTGATAAAAGAGATGATATTTAGATCTTTGGTTTTAACAAATTTGCAAATATTCTCAATCAAAGTTTAATAAATTTAGCAAATAAAATTGACTGACATATGAATAATTATCCAAATTGACCAATAAGATATATATTCTTGCCTATGATGCACCGATACACCTATTTATGAAGGCGTGATGTATCTGATACATAGATACGCCTCCGATACGGCACCGATACGTGTCGGATATGGCTTTGTCATATCCAATTAAAACACTATTTAATTTCAAAACGACGTGCGTATCAGTTGAGAAATAAAAAAAAATCCGAAAAAAAAAGATGCGTCGTAATTACTTTCGCGGTTGCAAGCGAGGTTCTCTCATTTCCGAGATGGATTTGAGAATCTTGATAATATGAAAATATTAGAAATTGCTAATCTTTCACTTAATGAGCCTAAATTAGAATTTATGATATTTATTGAAGATGCTATAGAAGTTCAAAGACAAATCATTGAAGAAGCTAATCATACTATTCCTTCTATTGAATAGTTGAAACTTCATGTGCTAGATAATTTATGTTTTTGCCTTTGTTGTTGTACTAGACATTTAATGCTTACTTTTATTTGATATTATAAGCTACAAGGCTACAAATGATGCTACTTTCATTTTTTTGTAATTTCAAATATTATTGATGAAGTCATCGACAAACATTTTAGGCAGGTTTATCGGCGAAGGAAGCGTAGATCGACGGCTACGATCGGGAGTTTATATTTTTGATGTTGTCATGTCTTTTATGTTATTTTATTTTATGTATCTTTTATTTCATGTACTAGTGACGATTTCGCCCTTATGAAGGCGTAGTGTTTGTTGTAGCCCAATGGGCATGTGAGCCTCTTTCTTTTCATGCTTTGAGACCTTTATAAAGGGGTCTCCTCTTATTGTATGAGCTTAATGTTGGATTAATAAAATTTCTGAGAGTTTTCTTTGTCTTCATGTTTGAGAGCTTGAGAGAAAGAGAGGAGGCCTAGGAGAGGCTCCATCCGAATTACCCAACAGCCACCTTGGTGAGCTCTTGGCTTTATTTTTTATTTTTGCTGTTTTCTTCCTTCCCCACCACCTCCCCATTCACCCGTCCCCTCCCCCTACAGCCGGTCCAGCAAAATTTCCCCTCCACCCGAACCCGCCTCTCTCCCCCTTCACGTTTCCTGCAGCCGACTCAGCCAAAGCCCCTTGATCCCGCCGATCTCCCCTCCCGTTCCCCTCTTGCCACTGGCTGGACAAGCCGCCGGCCCCAGCACAGCCACCGCCTCCTCCTCTACAGCCCGGCCATCCTTTCCCCTGGCTAATCCCGCCGGTTTCAGTGCATGAAGAAGTTTGAATTCTGCCATCAATTCTCTTTATTTGCTTCCTAATTTGACTCCTCAAATTAATGAATAATTGATTGAGAATTAATGATCCAAATTCAAATTCAAATTTCCCTCCCCCCCTCATTTGAAACTCCTAATTAATTAAAATATGAAATTAAAGCTCAGATTTTATTTAAAACCTTGGGCCCACTAATTAATCAAATCCCTCCTCTTTCTTCCTTGGCTTGGCCGGCCCCAACACATAATTTTCTCTCTCTACTTGCCACCTAAGCACCTCATAATCACCCCCTTAATTTCCCACCTTAACCGCCCCCCTCTCCCACCTAATTGGGGGAAATTTTAAGAGCAAATAACGGCTCCTTCCCCACCCAAAATCTGAAATATAATTTCAGATTTTCCCTCCAATCCTCTCCATAGCCCACGGCCCAAATCCCTTCTCTTGTCTCCTTCGATCCCTTCTTCAATGTCGAATGGCGGATCCGGAGCTTGAATGGGGATTAGTATTCCACGCCGACGGGAGCATTGATATCCTACGTTCTCCTTGCTTTGACGTAGGATTTGAAGACGACGCCACAATTGAAGAGTACTTGGAGCGAGTCGTCCCGATTCTCGCAAGTATCTTCGACCGACAGTTTCGTGGTTACACTTGGACGATCATCGGACGCCATCCACCACCACATTCCCTGGCGGATACCTCTCCGGTAACAAAGTCTTTCGTCGCCTTCTTCGTAGTGGTGTTCCTCATCCTCGTATGGTTCTTTCTTCTCTGCTAAAGCCCAAGAGTGAACGAGAGAGAGAGAGGGTACTCAAGGTGAAATTCTTCATTATTAATTGTGAGATTTTTGTTATGAGCAATTAAGTAGATCTTTTATTTTGGGAGTATTATGAATTGTTTGGTTATCTCAAAGCAAATCTTCGCCTAAGCAAGTTAATTACCTAGAATAATTTAAACCCTCATTTTATTGGTAATAAAATTTGTTTTTGACAATGCTTTAAATAACTTTCATTTTATTTTCTCAATGCAATTCCTACATTGATTCACATCAATTATGCTTTAATTGTTTTCTTAATTTTTATATATGATTTATAAATTATAATGACGTGTCCTCGCCGTACCCGTATCATGTATTTTTAAGAATTGACGTGTCTCGTATTCGTATTGGTGCAACATAGATTCTTTTTTTAACCAAATCTTTGCAACAACCACAATGAGATTTACAATTAGCTATACATAAGTAACAATAAAACTAATTTATAGCAAGAAATATATATATCTATCATAGACATTAGAAAGAACATAGTAAGAACACAACAATTTACATATTTCTAATTCTTAAGAACTTAACATCGACGGGGCAACCCCGACCGTAACTCTTTTATTTATCTTTGTGAATGATAGATATAAGTGATTTAATCAAAAAAAGACCTAAATTATACTTTACCAACCTATCTTCAAAAAAACTCTCTAGAAAGAAAGACGAACCTATGATTCAAGCTTATAGCCAACATATGCAAAGATATAGATCTTACAAAGAACCCAAGCAAGGGAAATCGAAGGGATAAAGCAAATCAACCATTTTGATTTCTTCTTCCTTGAAACAAAATCTAGAAAGAGAGAAACAAAAGAAAGTCTTCTCTATTTCACTTGTCTCTCGATAAAAGAAGACGAGCTCTCAAGAACGAGCCCTAGCCCCGATTCTTCCTTTGGCTCTGTTCTCCAACCTAGCAACTCTCAATTTTATTGCCCATGAATGAATGGTAAGTCTCACTATATATATATATATATATATATATATATATATAGTGAATTAAAAGAATTCCCTAATTAATAATCATTAGTTGTAATTAATTACATTAATTAATCATAATTAATATAAATAAAAGAAAGAATGTAATTAATTTTAAATCACTTATATCAATTTTCCTAAACAAATTATTTAAAGAAATATTCCTTAAAAATAGAATGAATGATAATTTGGATGAATTTAGTAAGCTCTTCCTACAGCATGTTACTTAGTAAACATAAAGCCATCTAGTGTCACACAACTCACCTTGGCCTGTTGGTTGAGAGCTTAGGCTACCAACTAAGAGGTTTTGGATTCGAGTCTTTGTGTATCCGATTTGTGTGTGAGTTTGTCTTAATTGGCCTAAATATCCTAAGAAAAAAAATAAATAAATAACACCATCAAGTGTTATTGATTTTAAAACTCATCAAGAATTATGGACTGGAAAACAACCAGAATAGACACATATAAAGGTTTTTGGTTGTATAGCTTATACTGATTAGAACAAAGGAAAGTTGGAGCCTAGATCAATTAAATGTGTGTTTCTAGGTTATCCTACAGGTGTTAAAGGGTACAAATTGTGGGATTTGAGTTATACTGGTATTAAAATAATAGTCAGCCAATATGTTATTTTTAATGAAGGCAAATTATACATTTTTTAGTCAGAAAATACAAAAATATAAGTTCTGATAAAGATTATTATGAGTTTGAGATGGAGCCTCCTATACACACAAATTATGGAAGCGATGATCCACAAGTCTAGTATTCAACAATCAAGAACCAAAATAACATCTAATGATAACAGTGATTATTTTCATGTGATTAAGAAAGAAAGAACATTAAGTCATCATCAAAATATGGATATGCAGAAATAATTGAATTTGTTCTGTTATCAGCACTTGAGTATAACGAGCCCGAACCATTAAATTACAAAGAAGCTATTCCTAGCAATGATTCAAAAAAATGGATTCAAGCAATGCAAGATGAATATAACTCTCTTCTTAAGAATAAAACTTGCATTCTTGTTGATAGAGAAGAGAATCAAAAGGTTATCTCATATAAGCGGGTTTATAAAATTAAAAAAGGAAACATTGAAAGTGAACCAAATAGATACAAGAATAGATTGGTTGCTAGTGGTTACACTCAGGGGGAATGTATAGAATATACTGATATATTCTCCACTGTTGTCAAGCATACATCAATATAAATATTGATGAGTTTAGCGGCTTTCTTTAATTGCGAATTATAACAGCTTAATATTAAGACAACTTTCTTGCATTATGAATTCAAGGAGAAAATTCGAATGGCTCAACCTAATGGATATGTTATAAGAAATAAGGACGATCAAATTTGTCTTCTTAAAAAATCATTAAATGGATCAAAACAATCTCTAAGGCAATGGTACAAACGATTTGATATATTCATGTTGAGTATATGTTTCAAAAGGAGCAGTTATAATGGATGTCTTTATTTTAGCACTTTGCTAGATGGGAGTTTGATTTGTTCATAGACATGTTGTTAGCTAGTAGAGATAGATTGAAAATTCACAAGCTTAAACACATTCTAAAGTTTGAATTTGATACGAAGGACCTAGGTGAAGCAAAGAAAAAACTTGGAATGTACCTCATAGGAAAAGGCAATTATGTTTGTCTCAAAAAAGCTATCTTTAAAGATTCTTGAAAGATTTTCAATGTCAGGTTCATAAGCAGTTAGTTTGTTTTATGGGAGTTAGTTTAAGCTATTTGCAACTCAATGTCCAAATTCAAATGAAGACAATAAAAAGATGCAAAAAAATTCCTTATGCCAGCGTCATTGGATCTCTTATGTATACTATGGTTTATTATAGGCCAGTTCTTGCTTTCTCTATTAGTGTTTTGAATAGATATATGTCTAATCCAGGATTACAACATTGGAAAGCAGTTAAATGACTACTAAGATATATTCAGGGAACTCTGACTATCGGTATTTTTTTAGATCAAGTGTTGATGTTGTTGTGTTACATGTTTTGTTGACTCAAATTTTAAAAGAGATTTGAATAGAAGAAGATCTACTATAGGTAATGTGTTTGTGATTTATGAAGGTCCTGTCAACTTAACATCTCATTTGTAGTCTATTGTGGCATTATCCTCAATAGAAGCAGAAAATAATATTGCTACAGAGGCTATGAAAGAATCAGTTTGGTTATAGAGTCTGCTTAGTGAGCTTGGTATATTTCACAATGCCATCACAATTTATAAAGACAGATGGAGTGCTTTACATTTGTGTAAAAAACTGGTATTTCGTGAAAGACAAAGCACGGGGATGTCCGTTTTAATTTCATACTTGACTTGATAAATTCAAGTGCAGTGAAGCTTATAAAAGTGACAACACACAATAATCTAGCAGGCATGACAACCAAGGTAGTTCCTCTCACAAAATTTAGATATTGTCTAAATTTTCTAAATGTACAAGTAAATTTGATATTATTTTTTAGCAATTTCTTCATGTTAATTCTTTTATTTTAAATTAAAGTGGAGAATTGATATAAGGGATTTAAAATTAATTAAAATTTTCCTTTTCTTTCTATTAATTATAGTTAATTAATGAAATTTATTACAACTAATGATTATTATTTAAGAAATTCTTTGTGTGTTTGTGTGTGTGTGTGAAATAGAGAAGGGTTTTATCTTGTTGCTCTCTTTCTAGGTTTTTTTTCAAGGAGGAAGAATAAAACAACATGGTTGATTTACTTGGTCCATTTGATTGATCTATATCTTTGCATATGTTGGCTATAAGCTTGAATAATAGGTTTATCTTTCTTTCTAAAAAGTTTTTTTTGAAGAAAGATTAGCAAAGTATAGTTTAGAGTTTTTTTTTTTTTTGCTTGAGATTCATTAGTTCTATTTCTAATTTTTCTAATTAAATCAATTGTCTCTTTCATACATAAAGATTAACAAGATAGTTAAGATCGAGGTTGCCCCATGAATGTAGAGTTCTTAAGAACTCAAATCAAATAAATTTTTGTGTTCTTTCCATGTTCTTTCTAATGCCTATGATTCATAAATCTTTCTTGCTATAAATTAGTTTTGTTACTACTTATATATAATTAATTGAAAATCTCATTGTGGTTGTTGCAAAGATTTGGTTAAAACAATAATATCTATCTTATAGCTCACTTTGGATTATTATTCATATGCCTTCATGTCTCTATGCTTTCAGATTTTAATCAAATTTATTTGCTAAATTTATAAAACTTTGATTGAGAATATATGCAAATTTCTTAAAACCAAAGATTTAGATATGCTCTCTTTTATCACAACAGATGTCAAAACCAAATGGTGATTAATAGGATGATGCAAGATTATTTTAAAGCTGTGAATGGGATGTCATTAATAATATCAAAGAAAAATATATACTGGCTTCAAACAAAATGTGCAATGAAACTGAACATGTGATAGTCAAATAGGAGCATTTTGGAATAACATAATATAATATTGGAAGAGAAGGGCTTTAATAATGGGAAATTGGCTCATTCTTGTTCAAGAAAAAATGTTGCCAGGAAATCACTCTTGAGGGTAAGACCGACTAAAAGATAAAGCAAATGTAATAACACAAGAACCGTATTATAACCATAGGACCAGCAAGCTACTTTGGATGGTGCAAAGGTAATCACATTGGCCATTAATATTCAAACTAATCATACATATTCAAATGAGCCATCAAAAAAATCATTTATGATTTGCAATAAAAATAAACTAATGGATGCCGTGCCCAAATTTTTTTCATCAAACAAAAATGATTCAAGTATTAGCTAGATTGAATTAGGGGGGATAAGTTTTTATTAGAACCTATCCTAGGTTAAGATCTTAATGAAGTGAGTTCTAGAATTTTCATAGGTACTTCGCCACTTCAAACTTGAAAGGACTTCATATAAACGCTATAAAATTAATTATTTAATGTGTTAATTGGCAAGTTGCATAAGCCATATGTGATAAGAGCATTGTTAGGGTTTATTCCTTAGTTGTCTTCTCAACCAGCCTTTTAGCCTTATATGCTTCGGATCTTGCTAGGACTTAGAAGCTTTTTGTAATAAGGAATAATGATCCCCACAAACAAGGAACTGGTAAGCTGAGATTTGGGTTCTCTAATCCAAGGAGCCCTTGCTTTTTCAAATGCACCTTTAATAAAGAGGAAAGATAAGCTGTTATCCCCTCCATTACTTGGACCTATAGTGCATTTTACAAATTGATCCAGATGGTTACCAGGATTTCAAAAGCTAGCTGGGTTGGATGAGTGGTTAATCTGAGACAGAGAGTGAAATAATCCACATGTGGTAGCAACTACTGAAGATATATATTCTACAGACTACACTCAAGAGGATTGAACTTGAACAAGTGAGAAAAACGACCATTAAAAAAGATGCAACATTGATATGCATGCAATTATAGTTTACGGTTATGTTATGAGAACTGTTACTATTCTCTTGTACCGGCATTCGTTATAGTGAATATTCCTCCTTTGCTCGTGGTTTTTACCCCTCTAAGATTTTTCATATAAATCTAAAATCTTAGTATTCTTACTTTATGTTTAGTTGCCTATTTTTCAATATTATTATTACACTGAAAAAAAAAATGAAAAATTTCTTTTCAACAGACAATTATCAGGTTCAGGTTGCATGAATTCCCTATGCAAATTAACAAGAGAAACGAAATTCTTCTAGCAGTCAATCACCTCCCTTCTTCTCTTTTCTTAAACTTACTTCAGTATACCAGGAGGTGGAGAATCATCAATAACAAAATTCATTTAAACACTGCACAATGTCAGAATAACTTCACGGTGCTGTTTGGTTGTAAGAATTAGCTAGGAATTAAGCTAAATCTTGCCAAATAATTTTTTTAGCCACATAAAATTTACTAACTACTTAAATCCAGTTTTCCTCCAGTTTTAGACTAAATCTCAGATTTAGAAAGAAGGATTTAAGATATTTAAACAACTTCTCCTCGCCGATTCTCTCCTTATTGTTTTAAATCCTAAATCTTGAAATTTGTCAAACACTTTACTAGAATTTACTATATCAAATAATTTTCAAGTTTAACGTATCTACGATTTACTAGCTCTGGATTTACAAGATCCACTAAATCCTGCAAGTAGCCAAACAACCCCTACATAATGAGAAATATATCAACACAATGAAATTGTAGACAATTTTCAATATCAATTATCAAGCCAAACAAGCTCAAGAAGTAAAATTGATAACAACTCCAGAGAAACAGAGCTCCTGGAACCAATCTCCTACTAAGACATGGGAAAAACACCAAAATGTTACCAGATCTACTAATCAAGCCGCAATGCTTTCGATGACAACATTTAACAAAGAGTTCATGGGAAAACTATAAAATTTAAAATTTTAAAAGACTGAAAGTTTTAGATCGACAAAAACATGGAAGAAGGCGTTAATCCAAGTGGAAAAAAAAAGGTCAAATGGGAGATCTTTGAAGGTGATTTACCTTAAAAGAACCATCGGGCTGGGACTGACCCAATCGCTGAATCTCTTCCTTGAGCCGCCCTACTTCTTCGTCCACATTCATTACTCTCTCTCTCTCGCTCGCTCGCTCGCTCGCTTTTTCTCTCCGCTTCCACCCCGATTTCCGACTTTAAAACTCGGAGGTTTCAGTTCTTTGCGTGCTTTCTCAGGTTGGGTGTACCTTTGGTAGATTTTAATCTATTTGATTTAGAAAAATTAATTGGTTTTAATTTTAAATTAAAAAAAATCAATTGATCAAATATGTTTTTTATAATTGAGTTAAGTTTAGCTAAATTTTTATTCGATTTTAAATGAACTAACATGTAATTAATCTAAAAATAAATATAATTAATACTAAATAAAATATCAATAATTTTTATTAATGTATAATTTATAATGTATAAATGATATTCACATTTTACTTATTTATTATCAAATATTTATTCACAACTCACATAGGTTATTAATTTAATATAATTTAATTTTTAATTTGATCAATTCTATAAAAATAAAATTCAAACAAAAAAAATTAAATATTAAACTTATATTTTCATAATTAAATCAAATAAAGCAGCTTAAGTTATTTATATTATTATCATTTTTTTGGACGATAAATTGTATAAAGGAGATAGCAACAAAAATCTTCTACCACCACATCAATCCTTTGGGCGCCATTCGTTTTATGCACTTTCTAAAATACTCTTCAATTAAATAAAATTAATGGTATTTGATCTAAAAACTTCATTTTCCATTTATTTAAAATATTCTTCAATCCCCTATGTTGTGGCCATAATCTCTATGGAAGGCACAATATTGCAACGGATCTATGATGTGTGCCCTAGTCTTTAAGAGGTAATCTCTTAAAGAAGTTTTTGGTTTGGATGGCTTCCATAAGCTCAATTATTAAGACACTTAACGGGGTGATTTTCACATATTGATGAGTAGGGCGTGGTATTTCCTACCTCTTGATGTTGTGATGGTGTTCTGTATGTAGTCACCTCTCCTTTTGCTACGACCATAGAAAAGTTCTGCTAAGGTTGTGGCCTTATTTCTTATCTCAACATCCTTCATTGGTTTTTTTTTCCCTAAAAGATTGTCATGAGCTCCTTGCGACAAGATCTTTTATTTGACTTGAGAATACAACGATCAATTCATTGTTGTACTCCTTGGCATTGATGTGATTATTGGTGAGTTTAAGAAATTCGACTAATATCTTTGACTATTATAGACCAAGGGTATAACAAAAAGATCTTTCTTATAGAACTTGAGTAAGGGCGCCTTAAGCCACTGCCAATTCCAAGTTTTTTACGTCCAATATTTTTCTTCGGAACCTCACAATAAAATTTATTAGGGACTTGTCTTGCTCTTGTCTCATCTTCAACAAAGGCTAGAAGATCTTCAATGGCTTTTGCAAACTAGTGATGTGGGTTATGAATAATTTTTTGAATTAGACAAAAAAACTTATCATTTATGATGGAATTTGCAAGTACCACCAAAGAAGTGATTCATTGAAGATTGTGAAGAATAATTAGCATCTCATGGCATTATCGAGACTTTGTAAGAAGGTGGATGACTTAAAATAGCCCACATTGTAGGTGGAATCTATCATCCCTTTATAAGATTTGAGGAAGGAAATTTGAACCTATTCAAGGTATCACCTTTATGATATTCTAGAGAAAGCATTCAATTGTTGCGGTTTCCTTTTCTCCGCTCATCGTGTTTAGGTGGATTTTTCATCATTGTTGAGATAATAGCTATCAATTGTTAATGGATTTGAACATGATGCTCTTGTGCATGGCAGTTTTCTCTACATAGCTTAGTTTGATAACCCCTTAGGTGCTTTTGCCCTCAGGAGGATCGTAAAGGCTTGCTTCAAATTCCCAAGATCATTCTAGTGAGTCTCTCTACCATCTTCACCAGCTATCTAGCTATTGGTAACAAAATAATAGTGATCCAAGTTGGTTGATTCCCCTTGGATAGGTTGCTCAAGTTCTCATATTGCTTTGCTTTTAGCTTGTGGCATAATCCAAGCTCATCGCTCCTTGGAAGATGTTGAATCCAAAATTGTCCACAGCTGATAGTTGGAGCTTATTTATAAGATTTTATGAGATTTGTGATGGGGAATGTGTTGAGATTTATCAACAAAGACTTAAGTGTTAGTGTCAATGATTTGATGATGCTAGCATCCCCGAACCTTTTATTTTATAGGCATAGACATACTATTTGGTGTTATAGAATATATATGATAAATTTTAATAACTTCCTCGGGCGGCTTATTTGATAAGGAAATATGGCTTTACTTCCTAGCAAGAATTGTGACAATTTGTGTGCTATTAATGTTTGAGCAATGTAATTGTCTTGTAAATGTTGTTATTAATTTCGTCTTAAGGAGATTGCAAACTAGCTAAACATACATATGTAAGCTAATCCTCGAGCGAGTAGTCCTATCTTCCTTGGAGCCTAATAGGATGTAACAAGTTGTAATGGTCCTAACAAGGTACCAAGTTCTTTATCATTTGGTGATTTCTCCACTTTAATGAGCTTGTCTTGCTAAGATCCCTTTAATTTGGCTAGCTTAATTTGAGGCCCAGAGAATTTTTTGGTGTAGAATGGTTTCTCCACCTCTCCTCAACCCTAACTTGCTAAGACAACATTAATTTAACTGAATAACAATAATACTTTAATAAATCAAATCATTATATTCTAACACCACCATTATATACTTCTGCATCTTTAATCTCAACATTATTTTAGCATACTTCTCCTGTGCATGCTATATATATATATATATCAAGAGAAGCACAACATAAAAAAAGGCTTATATCAAATCTTAATGGTATATTATATTAAAATCAACACAATGAAATTGTAGACAATTTTCAATATCAATTATCAAGCCAAACAAGCTCAAGAAGTAAAATTGATAACAACTCCAGAGAAACAGAGCTCCTGGAACCAATCTCCTACTAAGACATGGGAAAAACACCAAAATGTTACCAGATCTACTAATCAAGCCGCAATGCTTTCGATGACAACATTTAACAAAGAGTTCATGGGAAAACTATAAAATTTAAAATTTTAAAAGACTGAAAGTTTTAGATCGACAAAAACATGGAAGAAGGCGTTAATCCAAGTGGAAAAAAAAAGGTCAAATGGGAGATCTTTGAAGGTGATTTACCTTAAAAGAACCATCGGGCTGGGACTGACCCAATCGCTGAATCTCTTCCTTGAGCCGCCCTACTTCTTCGTCCACATTCATTACTCTCTCTCTCTCTCTCTCTCTCTCTCCGCTTCCTCCCCGATTTCCAGCTTTTAAAACTCTGAGGTTTCAGTTCATTGCGTGCTTTCTCAGGTTGGGTGTACCTTTGGTAGATTTTAATCTATTTGATTTAGAAAAATTAATTGGTTTTAATTTTAAATTAAAAAAAATCAATCGATCAAATATGTTTTTTATAATTGAGTTAAGTTTAGCTAAATTTTTATTCGATTTTAAATGAACTAACATGTAATTAATCTAAAAATAAATATAATTAATACTAAATAAAATATCAATAATTTTTATTAATGTATAATTTATAATGTATAAATGATATTCACATTTTACTTATTTATTATCAAATATTTATTCACAACTCACATAGGTTATTAATTTAATTTTTAATATGATAAATTTTATAAAAAAAAAATTCAAACCAAAATAAAAATAAAAATTACATTAAAATTAATTATTAAACTTATATTTTCATAATTAAATCAAATCAATCAAATAAAACAACTTAAGTTATTTATAATATTATCATATTTTCTTGAACGATAAATTGTATTAAGCATAGAGCAATAATAATCTTTGACCACCACGCAAAGAATTTGAGCGCCATTTCTAAAATATTCTTCAATTAAATAAAATTAATGGTGATTGATCTAAAAAATCCATTTTCCATTTATTTAAAATATTCTTCAATCCTCTATGTTGTGGCCATAATCTCTATGGAAGGCATAATATTGCAACGGATCTATGATGTGTGCCCTAGTCTTTAAGAGGTAATCTCTTAAAGAAGTTTTTGATTTGGATGGCTTCCATAAGCTCAATTATTAAGACACTTAACGGAGTGATGTTCACGTATTGATGAGGAGGGCTGTAGGGGGTGATATTTCCTACCTCTTGTTGTTGGGATGGGGTTCTATATGTAGTCACCTCTCCTTTGCTACGTCCATGGAAAAGTTTTGCTAAAGGTGTAGCCTTATTTATAATCTCAGCATCATTCATTGACTTTTTTTTTTCTCTAAGAGATTGTCATGAGCTCCGTGATGCAAGATCTTTTATTTGACTTGAGAATAAAACAATCAATCCATTGTTGTACTCCTCGACATTGATGTGATTTTTGGTGAGTTCAATAAATTCGACTAATATCTTTGACTATTGTAGGCCAAGGGTATAACAAAAATATCTTTCTTATAGAACTTGAGTAAGGGCACCTTAAGCCACTGCCAATTCCAAGTTTCTTACATCCAACATTTTTCTTAGGAATCTCACAATAAAATTTATTAGGGACTTGTGTAGCTCTTGTCTCATCTTCAACAAAGGCTGGAAGATCTTCAATGGATTTTGTACACTAGTGATGTGGGTTATGAATAATTTTTTGAATTAGACACAGAAGCTTATCATTTATGACGGAAGTTGAGAGTACCACCAGAGAAGTGATTCATTGAAGATTGTGAAGAATAATTAGCATCTCATGGCATTGTTGAGACTTTGTAAGGAGGTGAATGACTTATAATAGCCCACATTGAACGTGGGATCAATCCTGTCTTTATAAGATTTGAGGTAGGAAATTTTGAACCTATTCAGGGTATCACCTTTATGATATTCTAGAGAAACCATTCAATTGTTGTGGCGTACTTTTCCCCGCTCATCGTGTTTAGGTGGATTTTTCATCATTTTTGAGATAATAACTATCATCTCTTAATGGATTTGAACATGATGCCCTTGTGCCTAACATTTTTCTCCAAATAGCTGAGATTGATAACCCCTTTAGGTGCTTTTGCCCTCTAGAGGATTGTAAAGGCTTGCTCCAAATTCCTTAGATCTTTCTAATGAGTCTCTCTACCATCTTTACCAGCTATCCATTGGTAACAAAATAATAGTGATCCAAGTTGGTTGATTCCCCTTGGATAG